CGCACAGAGTGCTTATGGGACGGATCCCCTTAGCGATCAGACCAGCGAAGGGGAAGATACTGAGCTTAGCCTGACAAAAAAATGTTTGATAGGCCTAAGTGGATTTGCACTGCTAGAAGACTAATTTGAACGATTTCTTCAATTATCTTATACCTCCCACTCGGCTGAACGAGTAATTAATTGCGAGCGCAGGAGCGTGCCATTATTTCAATTATTTAGAAATATGTTTTCAAAATATATTTTTGTAGTGCCTACGAAAATATCTCAAGAAAATGACATTGAATGAATTCAAAAGATACGTAGATATGGCTTCTGAAATGTATTTATAATGTTGGTCTAGTGTAAAAACAAAATATTTACTTCTCCAACGACACAGAAAACTTTGAACAATGTCAATAAAAATGTATATATATATATATATATATTTTTATAGTGCACTGTGCTCTGAGACCATGAATGTACGGTATAGTACGTTTGCCTGTAATGAAAACAATTTATTCTTTGCATGACTTGTTTTGGGTGGGTGGAGGAGAAGGTATTCCCTATGTCGTCTGTTTTCACCTATGAATAAAGAATAAGGGCCGGTAACAAATGGACTACCACAAAACCTCAAATTGAAGCCCAGTGGGTTTATTCTCGAGATGAAGGCCATCTCGAATTGAAGTCCCCTCTATAATTTAAAAAAATTAGCCTCGAAAAGAAACCCACGGGCTTCTTTTTAAGATAGCATAGGCTTCTTTTCGAGATAGTACAGTGCATACACTGTATATTAATTTAAAAAAAAAAATAAATAAATTAAATACGATCTTGGTTTATACAGTAGTTTATTTGATCTAATGCCAGTTAAATATACCATTGATACAGATTGATGTTACAGAGGCCTTATTTATTGTTATATAGTACAAATTCACAAAAATTACAGCATTCATTTTGAAAAGAAGCCCCTCTCTTGATTTTGCAAAAGCAGTCTCGAAAAGAAGCCCATCTCGATAAGAAGCCCATCCAAAGTTGAAGCCCAAGGCTTCAATTCGAGATTTTACGGTATGTCGGAATATTCACGATATGCTTCCTTTTAATTAATACAGCGTTCAACGATTTTACTTGCACCCGACAGTGGCTCCAGAAAATTGCCGACAAGGGGTCCGAATCAAGGGGCCGACTAGAGCCTTGGTCTGAGTCTCGGAATAAAGTCCCTAGTAGGGTTCACGGGGAGAGTTTTTATGACTTATTATGGTCCATTTTTAAAATAGCCGCCAAAATTTACACATTGGCTCTTAACTTTATTTATATTCAATGAAAATAAATCAGGCTTCTAAGTAGTCCTATGTGTTATTGGGGTCACCGTCTTCAGTGAGACATGTTTCAAAAGCCTAGAATGGCAGCTACCGGTATTGGCTGCTGTAAAAATTAATATTTCAGTAAAGGCCTAATTCCAGTTTTTTCTATGAAAAGTGGTAAATTTGGTGTCTAAACATTTTGGGCTTTCCGAGTCCAATAAACTTAGTTTCAAAAAAGTAGGATGGCCGCCATTTTGAAATTTAAGGTGGCGGCCACGAAGATCACCGAAATCAAATATTTGGTTTTTATAATTCCACTTCTCGATCAAAAATTGTAAAATTGGTGTCTAATCATATGTTATTGGGCCATGTAATTCCAATGAACATGGTTTCAAAAAGCTAGAATGGCAGTTCAGTTTCTAGTAAATTAATTATCAATAATTGTCTTCCTTATGTCTTAACATTTAAACATTTAAAATCTAAAACAGACTTCAAAATGTTCTATTCCAACTAGATTTGAGAAATTGTGGAATAACCTCCATCCTGATATTCGAAATTATTTCATTATATTTTTTAATTTCGGTGTGTTCAAATGTAAGTTAAAAAATTATTATTATTATTATTATTATTATTATTATTATTATTATTATTATTATTATTATTATTATTATTATTCTGGGAGCAGCATATCTCTAAGATGATAGTGGTTCCGCTTGCTGCTCCATGGCTCACCTAATTATTCTTATATATTTGTGAATTTCTGAATTTTTTGTATTTGTAATGTTTTATATTGTTATTTGTTTTGCCAGGATGAATAAAATAGAAGATAAAATATTTTGAGATTATTTGTTTTATATGATTCCACTTTTCGATTAAAAATGGTAAATTTTGTTTGCAAAAATGCTATTGGGCTATCCGAGTCCAATAAAATGCAACATAATTATTTTAAAAAGCTAGGGTGACAGCCATACTTATTTACAATGTACATATTATGTTCACACTTTGGCTTAAAAAATGCAAAATGTGACAATTTTCAAAAATGAAAAATTACTATTTATACCATGCAGTAAAACGTGTCTTTTAGATTTAAAAAATCTATAAATATCACCGGGGCTTATAACAACTTTGTAAACTTATGGGAATAATTCAAAATGATTAACACAGTTATGTTCTTCATCGTTCTCGTCATCAGAAGACGAATCTTCATTTGTTTTGACATCACTCTCATCACTTCCGGTACTACTATTATCACAGTCACATACATACCGGTAATCTTTATAAAACTTTTAACACTTTACATTAACCAGTTGATACCCACTGTTTATTGGTGATTAATAAGTTTTAATAAAAAAAAGTTTAAATAATTGTATCCTCATTTATACTCAAGTGACAAGCAGCGACGTGAACGCCCCTACCCCCTCCCCGCCGTTGTAGCCTATTAGTGCTGGCCCAAAGTTGAGAATGATGTTATGATAACTATTAATGATGCCATGAAGGGAATAGTTTGTAGCTAAGCAACGGAGCGAATTCATTGTGCCGTAGTAGCTTTGAGTCAATACGATCTTGTTTAACGTTTAAATATTTCAGTGTTTACGGTTGACTTATCACGATGATCCTACTGGGTAGGTCGACCGCTATTATCTGTCTGAAAAGATTACAAGAGAGTCGGCTAACAGTGGGAACTTAGCAACGATGTAAATAACACGTTTGGAGTATCGATCCCACGAGACGACGTGCGTGTATTATTGTGTTATGACCGAATACATTGCATTCTGTTCCGGTAGACACCTTTAAAGAAGCATCGCCAGAGGCAAGAGGTCTGCGATACTGAACTGGGGTAAGTGAGAACTTTCTCTATGGTCTGAAATAGTTCTACAAAATTGGGACGCCACGAGATTAGGCTTTTATAACCTAAAGTTTGTGTTAATTCTTGGAATCTCAAAACGCCTATTATCTAGACTTAGGCCTACCCGGTAGTAGAAGTGTAGGTAAGCCTAACAGGCGTAATAAATGTTTTTGTATCCATACTTGGTCCTGAGTCAAACATGATACACATCAATGTGAAGGGCCTATGATCAATGATGGATTGAAATACTATGTCTGTCATGGTCTTTCACTCTAAAGTGTAGATTTGTATCGCAAAACGCATGGTTTTGTTATTTGAGGAACAATTCAATCAAGAGCTCGTCTATCTCCTGCTATAGCTAACCAGTGGATCTAAAAGTCTTGAAATGGGGAGGGGGTTCTGATGGGAGAAGGGGAAAGGTGAAGTGGGGCTAGATGATCGGTTGAGTTTGCTAATTCGCAAAATAAGGTGATTTTAGGTGATTTTTAACTACTTGACCGGTTTTTTTTGTGGGGGGGGGGAGTGTTTTTATTGATAGTAAGTTAAATTTCTGTTACCATGCTAAATATATTGTGTCAAATGCTAGTCGAATGATGGGTATGATTTGGAGAAATTGTAGGTTTGTGAATGATGGGCCTGCTCTAGTTTGCTTGTATAAAACGATTATTCGTCCGCACTTAGAGTACTCTTCTGTTATTATAAACTCGATTTCTCCAAGTCAGGCCCATCGTATTGATAGAATACAAAGAAGGTTTTTATATTTAGCTAAGACATGTCCCGATTATACTGTTAATATTGATTCCTTAAGTAAACGTAGATTTGTTTTTGATATGCTGTTTTTCTACAAAAGTTTAAATTCTGTATTTGATTGTAATCTTGTATCTTTGTTTAAATTAACGTTCCTAGTCGTACTCGTACTAGAAACTTAATCTATGTTCCATTAGGTCGGGTTGACATAACTAAGAGAGGTTTATTTCAAAGATTAGCTGTTACATATAATAATTTAAGTTGTTCTGATGAAATTGATATTTTTTTATGATAGTTTATCCTCGTTTAAGCTTAAAATTTGTAAGGTTGTTTGATGTTAGTTATTATTTGTCTCTTTCTATGTGTATATGTTTTTCTCCAACCTGTTAGTGGAGGTTCTTATCTCTGTTGGTTGAGAATTAAATAAATAAAAAAATAGAAAAAGAGTAATTTTTAAAGGGGAGTGCGCCGCCACCGCACCCCACGCTACTGTGGCTAACTGCATATACGACATAGAAATATACGTGTACTTGTCATCAGTGACATAACGATGAGTCACGGGCCCCGGTGGCGAGAAAGTGTTGGGGGCCCTTGCATTTTAGTAATCGATCATATCAGTGTCACGAAATGGGCAGAGGGGCCTCTTTACAGAAGAAGTGTGAGTCCACATATGACATTCGTGAGTTAAATACCTGGGGTTGCATTGTTTTCATTATAGTTTTTGGTGTCTTCTACTGGATCATAGGGGTCCGAAGTATTTGGAAGAAGTCAAGGCACTGTATAGTATCAGACACTTCCGGGGCCTGAGCCCATAGACGTAACGTCACAACATGTAATAAATACCGTACTCAAGTGTGGTTATTGTAACAGATTTCTGAGCATCGATAATAAATTAATTTGGAACTTGGAAGCGACACAAGAGTCGTCGGTTAGGCATGTGATCATACGGGTAGACCTACCTCTATTATCTAAAAGTTCGGTCGAGTTAAGATCAAATACATCATTACACAAATCGGACAATGCTTAGTCTCTTTTTCTACCCACACCAGGTAACCGTGACAACAGTTAACAAGTTGTACCGTACATTATCTTCTCACAATCTATAATAAATATGGATCTATGCCAGGTTTAACTAATTTATTCCTAACGCAATGCATAAGCCTTAATATTATTATCTTATAATGTAATGGTGACATTATTCGACAGTTTGCCCTCATATTCGAGACCACGTTAGGACCTGAAAATGTGAGGTGGTCTTGGTGTTCGGTCTCAATTAGAGGGTTAGCTAGCTTTGAGTTAAAAGATTGAAGATTGTTATTTGGTTCTTTGAAAAATTGGTCTTGAATTAGAGGGGTCTCGAATTGGGTTGCACTGTTCGTTCTCCAATTGGCGACCACTTTGGGACATGAACATTGGGAAATTTGAATGAAAGGTGAGTTAAACATAAGAAAGGAAAAGGAAAGAAACGATATGGAATCATAAGAAAGGAAAAGGAAAGAAAAGATAAGGAAACATAAGAAAGATAACAGTAAGAATGATAAGGAACATAAGAAAGGAAAGGAAAGCAATGAATTTGGAATCATAAGAAGGTAAATGGAAAGAAAGATAAGAAATATAAGAAAGTAAAAGGAAAGGAAAGATAAACTAAGGATGAATAAGGAAAAGGAAAGATAAAGAAACATGAGAAGAGAAAAGAAAGGAAAGATAGACATGGAAACATTAGAAAGGAAAAGAAAAGAAATGATAAGAAATATAAGAATGAAATTTGAAAGACAGATACTAATTATAAGAAAGAAAATAAAAGGAAAGATAAGGAATCTAAGAAAGGAATGTGGAAGATCTATTCCCCATCTAAGGATGAATAAGGAAAAGGAAAGATAAGGAAACATGAGAAGAGAAAAGAAAGGAAAGATAGACATGGAAACATTAGAAAGGAAAAGAAATGATAAGAAATATAAGAATGAAATTTGAAAGACAAATACTAATTATAAGAAAGAAAATGAAAGGAAAGATAAGGAATCTGAGAAAGGAATGTGAAAGATAAGATGAGGAAACATAAGAAAGGACAAGAAAAGTAAAGATCATGAACATTTGAAGGGAAAGGAAGAAAGACAAGAAGCAAAAGGGAAAGAAAAATGAAAGGATTTGGGATGAATAGGAAAGTAAGAGGCCTTGAAATGATTCCAATTACCAAAGCATTGTAATAATAACATTTATTGATAATCATCAAACCAATCATTTGAACTTAATTAAGTTTTATTCTTCTCTGTTGTTGTTAAGCGCCTCGAGGTTGTGTCAACGTGAGGCGCTATATAAATCCAGAATTATTATTATTATTATTATTAAATCTCGGGGTTCGGTCTGAATTAGAGGGTTAGCTTTTATTAAAAGATTGAAAATTGTTTTTTTGGTTCTTTCAAGAAGTAGTCTCAAATTAGATGGGTCTCGAATTTTAAAGGTGCACTGTTCGCCCTCCAATTCGAGACCATTTTGGGACCTGAAAATTTGGATGGTCTTCGCGTTTTGTCTCCATTTAGAGGGTTACCTTTGTGAGTGAAGATTGTTATTTGGTTCTTTAAAAAAGTGGTCTCGATTTAGAGTGGTCTGGAAATTAGAGGGGTCTCTGATTGGAGGGTGCAGTACATCTCAATAATGAACACTGCCCACATTATTCTATGTTTTTTATCTTTCAGTTGATCGATCTACTTTCGAACGTGGCGGAACAAAATATGGCGGCAACCGGCCGTCATGAACCAGCTGCTAGAGACTTACTTCCCCGGTACCCACAACCTTTTTCGGTGATTAGCGAGCATTGGCAGGACCAACTTCATGTGCACGACAACACAGGCGATGATCTCTTCAGTTTCGGACCTGTTTATGACGAGAATATGTTCAAACTGATCCATAAGCATCTAGAATTGGACACGCACGATCGATTTGCTTATGTTGGAGCGAGCAAAGGTTCTTACGCTGCAAAAATCAAAGAAAAATTCTGCCTATTGCAGCCAATTGTGGAAATATACCCCGGGACAATTCTTTATGAAGAAACACCAAACCAGCGACGAATGATCCCATTTAAGGTTGATCAAGTTGGCGCAGAGCAGTATTTTCGAGAGCTCTCTGAAGGATTGACCGAAGGCAAAGAACCGCCTTTTGATAAGATCATTCTGCACGGCGCGTTCGAATATTTCTCTTCCCCGAAAACGACATTTGCGCATATTATGCGCACGCTGACAAAACATGGAAAGTTGTTGATATTACACAGGCCAGCGCCAATGAGTACTTTACCATTTTTTACTGAGGCAAATAAAAGGTTCGTTGAAGAGGATAGTAACGATCCGTACCTGAAGATTTTAAGAAGTTTGCAGTCACAGAGAGTTGACGTCAAATGGGACATTGAGGTTCTACCGATCGTTATGCCGAAAGTGAAATGGCTCGCGATGCTAAACAAAAAGTTTCCACCGCAAATGGAGATAATTAGTAACTTTGAAATCCTAACAGGGGTCCGTGAACTAACGGAAGGTATGCTTAAATATCAAGGAGAAATGGTCGAGTTCTTTGATCGGCTGATGTTTATAGCCGTATCGCTCCCTTACGGCACTGGCGGCTACCCGAGCATTCAGCGACATGGTTCGTCAGAAACTAAGCCTTACCCCGGATTGGTAGATTTGAAGTACAGCTTGGAAATTACGCCAGATATTCAAAAGCATATCCGAGATATTCAGAACAATAAAAAATTCAAGCAGAACAGTATTTTTTGATGACGTATTATAAGATTGAACGAATAGTGCGAGTACGAGAACAAGCTGCAATGAAAAATAGACCTACCAAGTAATATAGCCTGAATGTTAGCTGCCTTAGGTTTTGAAGGGAACCCGGCGGAAGAAGCCCGACATGAAACTCTTTACTGTTATTAGGCAGACATGATGTGCAAATTTCACTGTGATATTGAATATTTAATAATAAGAATAACAATAGTGTAATAATAATAATAATAATGCCTAATAAATAATGGTAACACTAAAATCAATATTAGTAATTATAATTGTAATATTTTATTTATAATACAAATAATTATAGCTGTTATTTTATTATAAAATTTATTTTGTAAGAATGCATTGTGTATATACTAGTATATACCTACATTAAAATTGTACCAATTTACACAGGCTTATTATTATTTATTATTAGGTAACATAGGTCCCCCTTTCGCCCCCCCCCCCTGGACATCTCTGTGGTGCAAGTGGTGTTCACTTAAAAGAGAGGCCTACACTGATGTGCTAGCAAGGCAATTAAACAGAAGGACGCACATCTCGGGACATCAAAGGTTATAACTCT